AAAAATCGCTTAGGAAGCTGGGTGTTAGTGGCTCATGCCTGTAAATCCTTGTTACTCAGGAGGCTGAGATCTGAGGACTGCAGTTTGAAAACAGCCCAGACAGGAAATTCCATGAGACTCTTATCTCCAATTAATTACCAAAAAAAAAAAAAGCCAGAAGTGGAGCTGTGGCTCATGTGGCAGAGTGCTAGCTAGCCTTGAGTACAAAAGCCCAGGGATAGTACTTAGACTCTTGAGTTCAGGCCCCAAGCCCAGCACACACAAAAAAAATGGCATAGGAAACATCAGAGTGTATCTCATGATATAATAAAGGTAAGTTTCATTTCTTTCAAAGAACAACTTCCTTACTTCTGTATGTTTGTATATTCACACGTATGAGTATACTGGGTTATGAGGTACAGTGGTTTTACTGTTGGCCATAGCCAAAAGAATTGTCACTAGAATAAAAAGCTCATGACATGATAAACCACTCTCCCACCCCCTTTGCTGGTATGTCCACAAATCTTAGTTGAGACTGATACACTTGGGGAAGGCAAGTCAGTGCCCTACATTACTTGACTTTCTCAATTGCCTTTAAACCTCATTCTTTGCAGAAAGCATGTGGCCCCGGGGAACTGGGATTCCTGGTATTTGGGAGGAAGCTTCTTTTAGCGACCTGCCCCCAGAGAGTCAGCATGGTCAGGTTGTCTCAATGGGAGCTGGGTGCTGCTGGGTTTCCCTTTAAGGTTCAGTGCCTGAGCCACTTTGGCAAAGTTTTTTGCCACCCAGGTGGCGGCAGTGGTGGCAGTGTTGTGATTGCTTTGCGTTTTACTTGGCATTTCTTCATAGGGCTTGTCAGCCTTCTTCAACTCTGACAACTTGATCTTTCTGGTCATTTGTCTCAGCTGGCCTGTGCTGGGGCCAATGCCACCTCTTCCCCAAATCTTACTCCTTTGTATCAGATACTGTCTGAGGTCAGCGTCCATTGAGTTTCCTGGTGGCAGAAGGATGTTGATGCCCATTAGAATGACCCCTTCTAGGCTTGACTAGTGCTCACGGGCACCCAAATGCTATGTGCCAAGACATTCCAGCAATATGTACCCTGGCCCATCTCTGTCCACTGCCCTTGAGAGGATGCCATGTGAAATTTGTGGGACTGGTACCCAAAGAGCAGGTTTCATTTAAAAAATTTACAGGCACTCTGTAGGTAAAGTTTTGTTCTTAATCTGCCTCACCATTTTTCTAAGAACTCTTCTCTGTTACTAATCAGTGAGTTCAGTGAACACTTGTACTCAATTTGTCTTACTGTCCTTATTTGCACTGTAGTCATAGTTGCCTCCAACTTTTTACTGTAAAAGACAGTTCAGGGATATGTACATAGGATGCATTTTATGTGTAATATTTTGTAAGCCCAATGTTTTATATTTTATTTTGTTTTTAAACTATTTTTGTCTTTTCTTTTTTGATACTAGGGATTGAACCCAGGATGTTGTACTTGCTAGGCAAGTGCTTTGCCACTGAGCTACATTAGATTTTGTTCATTTTTTTGTCCCAGTACTGGGGGCTTGAGCTCAGGTCCTTATGCTGTCACTTGGCTTTTTTTTTGTCATCAGTCATTGGGCTTGAACTCAGGGCCAGGGTGCTGTCCCTGAGCTCTTCAGCTCAAGGCGAGCGCTCTACTGCTTGAGCCACAGCACCACTTCCGGTTTTCTGGTGGTTTATTGGAGATAAGAGTCTCACAGTCTTTCCTGCCTGGGCTGGCTTTGAACCGTGATTCTCAGATCTCAGCCTCCTGAGTAGCTAGGATTACAGGAGTGAGCCACCAGCGCCTGGCTTCGTTCTTGGCTTTTTGTTTTAACACAAGGGTAGTGTTCTACCACTTGAGCCACAGCTTCACTTCCAGCTTTTTGCTGGTAAATAAGTCTCATGGAGTTTTCTGCTTTGAATCTCAATCTTCAGATCTCAGCCTCCTGAGTAGCTGGAATTCCAGGCATGAGCTACTCATGCCGACAAGTCTCCAGTTTTAGACTCTACCTTCAGAGTGGAGTCTCAGTTTGGAGTAGAGTCTGGGTACAAAGACCCTTAAGCCATAGTTTCTGAATTTGTGAGGCTTTCAAATGATTTGATGTATTAATGTGAAGGCCCACATTGGATGTGAACAGTAATGACCTGTCCCTCCTGTTTTCATCCTGATTTTCTCAGGGGTTGAGAGAACAATTTATTTGCTTCTGCTGATTTCATGGATTTTAGGATAGTCTTGATTGCTTGACCTGATTTTTGAATGCCCTCTCTTTCCATCCTTGGTTGTTGAAGAGATTCCCTTGGGGGCTAAAGGACTCCTGTCATATTTTTCTTTTCTTTCTGCAACCATATTAAGAGTCTTTCTCCTGCTGCTGGCTACTTCCTGAATTTTCTCTTTATCCTCACATCTATGATGGTAGTAGATTTTAGAAGCCTAAATATTACACATGTCAGGATTGCGCTGGATGATGAGGGTTGCCCAGTCCTGTCCCTGGAAGAGCTTTTTATCTTGTTCAAGACTATTCTTGAAGAAGCTTGTTTTAGGGAATACCAACCTTTTTTTTAATGACAAGATTTTTTAAAAAATGAAGCCAGTACCATCCAGCAGAAATAGTATTGAAACACAGGTCTAAAGGCCTGGATTTTAGACCCACTAAGGGAACTGGTAAAGTATCCAGGCAGTTAGTTCTGAACTTTACTTTCTCAGCTCTAATGTGTGTGACTTGTTGGCTGGGCTCCCAGAGTTGTCTACCACAAGCCACATAGTATTTTGATTCAAATACTTCTAGTGAGATGCATAGACTACTGAGAAAGATAGATTTTCCCATCCAAAGTTTCTCGCCTCTGGATCCACGTACCTGGTTAAAGTTCCTTTCTCCAGCACACCAGTGGAAGGATCGTACAGCTCTTGCCTTGTGGTTTCCTAGCCATATGTCCCATGGAACTAGATAAACTGGGAATTAATATGTAGACCAAAGGCAGGTCTAAAGCAGCCTCAGTGAAGGAAGAGGGAAAAATCTTGTCTATTACAGATTCCTCCCTCTATCTACTAGATTGGGTGGGAGATGGTTAGGTTCTAGTCTTCCGCATCCAAGGATCAGCAACTTGGTTGAATACAGAAGGCCCAGGTTGTGATCTTGTTCCTGTTCCTCCATGACCTTGAGCCATGTCCTCATCCTCTTTAGGAATAATAGTAATACCTACTTCAAAGGATTAAAAGTAACGTGTGTGTGTGTGTGTGTGTGTGTGTGTGTGTGTGTGTGTGTGTGTGTGCGCGCGCGTGCGTGCGTGCGCGCGCGCGTGTGCACCAGTCTCCTTGAACTCAGGGCCTGGGCATTGTCCCTGAGCTTTTTTGCTCATGGCTAGTGCTCTACCACTTGGGCCACAGCTCCATTTCTGGCTTTTTGGTAGTTAATTGGAGTTTAGGGTCTCATAGACTTTCCTACCTAGGCTGACTTTGAACTGCAGTCCTCAGATTTCAGCTTCTTAAGTAGCTAGGATTATCGGTATGAGACACCAGTGCCCAGCTAAAAGTACCGATCTGGCATCGGGAAGATTAAATTAATATATTGATGCATGTGGAGCTTACCTGACATCATAATACTACATATGTGTCAACTGATGACATTCTGTTTCTGTGAAGATAACTGGTTAGATATTTTCAAAAAGTTTCGGGGGCTGGGAAGGTGGCTCAGTGGTAGAGCCCTTGCCTTGCATGCATGAGGCCCTGGGTTTGATTCCTTAGCACCACATAAGCCAAAAAAGCCAGAAGTGGCGCTGTGGCTCAAGTGGTAGAGCAATAGCCTTGAGCTGAAGAGCTGAGGGACAGTGCCCAGGCCCAGAGTTTAAGACCCATAATGGACCAAAAAAAAGTTTCAACTATTTCCACAAGTATTAACAATGCCTTGCTGCCTCTTTGGAAGAAAAAGTTTTGAGTGGTTGCCTCAGCCCCTCCCAGGTTTCTGGATGTTTAATTAATACTTCCCTCATTGGACTTATCTGTAGCTATCAGATACTTGTGTAAGAATAGTAACAGTGATTTCTCCATGATGAGATTCCACATCTGGCAGGATCAGGCTGAAATATGTTTGACAATACCATTTAGGGATTTGATATGGCTTGGTGAAGGAGTAAGATCAATCAATATATCCTATCCATTTAGTCCCTCACCCTGTGCCAGGCCTTCATGTCTGACTTTGCATCTCCATTTCTCTTGATTCCTCTTGGGCTTGATGTACACATCCTGGTTTTCCTGTACTTCATGTTGCAGGTGAGGAGACTAGCTATGACCTTGTAAACTGATATGAGAATGTAAAGAGCTGGTGCAGGGACCCAGTCTTCTCTAACTCCCTTCCCATTCTCTATTTTTCCCCCTTTTCTCTGCTGCTTCTTGCATCTGACAGCCTTTACCACCTACTCATTCATCGAAAAGAAGGCTTTCATCACAGGCAGAAATAGATCTTAAATAAATAAATGATCCAAACATGTTGATAAAACGATGCCCAGTGCTATTTGTTGATGTTTGGTTTGTGACCAAATAATAGAAGAAACAACCTGGCTGCTCAATATGAAGAGAATGGCTACGTAAATTATGGCGAGCCCATATGATATAAGCATTAAGCAGCCATTTTCAATGTTTGCAAAAGCCTATAATGATGTTTCTTACTGTTAAATGGACAAAGCCAGCTGTGAATGCATGTCTGCAGAATCTAAATGGTTTCAGAGAATGTCTGGAATGAAATTTTCCACATGGTAACAGTCATTGCCTCTGGCTGATGTGTGCTTGTTTTGCATCCCACGTCTTTAGATTTTCCTGTATTTTGTAAGCTTCCTACAATGGGCGTGTAGGGCTTACATGATCAAGAGACAAAAAGAGGTAGAAGAGTAACAGCAGCCATCAGGTAGAGATGGGCCACCACAGAGGTGCAGAAGGTGCCTGTGGGTGGCAGAACTGACCTCTTAGGAGGTCAGATCTATGTGCTCTCTTCTCTTCCCTACAGGCCTAATGAGGAGGAACTGAGGATGAAGAACATGGATGATAATACCTCTGCTGTGGGTAAGTACTTGACACCTTTTGGGAGTTCTTCCCACTTTTTATATCTTAATTTGTGTGTGTGTGTGTGTGTGTGTGTGTGTGTGAGAGAGAGAGAGAGAGAGAGAGAGAGAGAGAGAGAGAGATGGCGATTGAACCTACGGCCCTGAACATGCTAAGTAATTGCTCTAGCACTGAATTATATATACTCACAGCCTTCTGCTCTTTTTTCTTACCATTTCTTTTTTCCTTCCCCTTTTCTTACTATGAATAAGATAGGTCTCCTATTGCTTAGATGACCACAAAAACTTCAGCTGTCAGCTGGTTAGACTAGCAGATTTTCTTTTTATTTGAGTTTTAAAAATTGTTATTGTTATTAAGTAGTTGTGCAAGGGGGTTATAATTCTATAAGTTGGGTTATGAGTGCCATGCTTATTGGATGTACAATGTCACCCCTTCCTTTGTTCTTCCCCACTGTCTCCCTCCCATCCCTACCTAGTCACATAGTTCATTTTTTAATAGTGTACCTTGAGTATATCAGCAGATTTTCTTAGCTAAATCAGACCCGTTTGCTCACCTGTCTTGTCCCAATATTTCGCCTTTCTTCTCTCCATCAGAGTGTCTTGATGTTCAAGAGTTAGTGGGTCCCCTGGTGGCCCCCACCCCACTTCGTCCATGGCCCCAGATGACACTTCAGGTAAGCAAGCTCTTGAACCCTTGGGATAAAAAGCCTAATAAAAATTTCACCTTGTGATCGTTTAGTGGCAGTTGAGTCCACCTTAGTTGGAAAGGAAAACCAGAAGCTGATGGCTGATGGAGGACAATGTGGTAACTGGCTTGGACTTAGAGAAATTTCATTTGTTAATTTAGCAAATAGTTAGAGACTGCTTGTTATGTGCTACTGGTAAAAACAGAGAACAAAAACAGTGTATGCCTGGGGCATAAATGTTTCTGGGGTAAGAACTGATCAGATAAAATATATGGTATTGTAGGTACGTGTTTTTTGAGGCAGTACTGGGGTTACTCAGGGCCTTGTGCTTGCTAATCAGGCTCTCTTATCACTTGAGTCACACTTCCAGCCCCAAATATACAGTGTTTTAGGTGAAGATGACTGCTAATAAGAGGGAGGGAAGAGGAGAGAATGGAAATGTGGGGAGACATTTGGGACTTTAGATTGGGGGTCTGGGAAGGCTTTAGTGATAAATGAGATTTCAGGGGAGATCTGAAGATTAGAACGCAAGCCTTGTAGATAACTAGGAGAAGAGCATCCCAGGCAAAGGTGAAGTGCCTGAGGAAGGGCCATGACTAATGTTCGTTAGGATCAGTCAGGAGGTTGATGTGGCGCAACAGAGTAAATGAAGGGCAGAATTGTAGAGGTGAAGACAGAGAGGTAGTGGATGACAGATTGGACAGGGTTTTGTGAACCAAAGTGAGGACCATGGATTTTGCTATGAGATGGAGTGGGGGAGCCAAAGGAGGGCCATGAATAGTGGAGGGACATGATCTCCTGTAGGGTTTAATAGGCTTCCTCTGGCAGCTGCACTAAAAATACACTATTGGTGGAGGGTGAAGGCAGGGGCACTGAGGAGGAAGAAACCACTGCAGTGGTCCAAGCTAGCTGTGACTGTGGTAGCAGGGGAGATGGAGGTATTTTGAAGATGTGTGTTGTTATAACTTATTCTAACTTATTATAAAACTTTTTACACACACGTATGTAAAAAGCAAAGCAAGGGCTGGGAAGGTGGCTCAGTGGTAGAGTACTTACCTTGCATGCCTGAGGCCCTGGGTTCCATTCCTCAGCACCACATAAGCAGAAAAAGAAAAAAGCCGGAAGTGGCACTGTGGCTCAAGTGGTAGAGCGCTAGCCTTGAGCTGAAGAGCTGAGGGACAGCGCCCAGGCCCAGAGTTCAGGCCCCACGACCGGACCCAAAAAAAAAAAATTAGAAAAAAAGCAAAGCAAAACAGGTGCTAATGGCTTATGCCTATAGTCCTAGCTACTTAAGAGGCTAAGGTAAGACAATCATAGTTTTAAAGCCACCTCAGACAGAGAAATATGGGAGACCCTTATCTCCAATTAACCAGCAAAACATTGATATGTAGATCAAGTGGTAGAAAGTATCAACCTTGGGAGATGGGAAGGGATGGGATGGGGAAACAAAGGAGGAGGCAACAATGATTGATAAGAAATGTACCCATGTAATTGTAACCCCTCGGTACGGTATTTTCACAATAAAAAAAATGAAAGAAAAAAAAGTATCAACCTTGAGCAAAAACCCAAATGAGAGTGGGAGATCCTGGACTCAAGCCCCAGTACCTGTACCCCCCCCACCCCGAAAAAAAGTAAAAAGTAAACAGACTAGTTTTATGAATTTGCAAGTACCTCACCAAGTTTCTTGTGCCCCTTCCTACTTAATACCTCTGCTTTTTCTCCTCCCTTCCCCCCTTCCTCCCCTTTTTCCCCTCCCTCCCTCCCTCCCCCTTCATTCTTTCCTTTGTTTTTTCCTTCCTTCCTTCCTTCCTTCCTTCCTTTCCTTACTTCTTTCCTTTCTTCTTTCCCTCCCTTCTCTCTCTCTTTCTCTTTCTCTCCTTCCTTCCTTCCTTCCTTCCTTCCTTCCTCCCTCCCTTCCTTCCTTCCTTCCTTCCTTCCTTCCTTCTTTCCTTCCTTCTTTCCTTCCTTCCTTCCCTCCCCTCCCCTCCCCTCCTCTCTCCTCCCCTCCCTTCCTCTCTCCTCCCCTCCCCTCCTCTCTCCTCCCCTCCCTTCCTCTCTCCTCCCCTCCCCTCCTCTCTCCTCCCCTCCCTTCCTCTCTCCTCCCCTCCCCTCCTCTCTCCTCCCCTCCCTTCCTCTCTCCTCCCCTCCCCTCCTCTCTCCTCCCCTCCCCTCCTCTCTCCTCTCCTCCCTTCCTCTCTCCTTCCCTCCCCTCCCTTCCCTCCCTTCCCCTCCTCTCCCCTCCCCTTCCCTCCCTTCCCTCTCCTTCCCTTCTTTTCCCTCTCTTGTTGCTTGCTTGCTTTCCTGCTTTCTTTCTTGCTTTCTTCTTTGTCCTGGGGCTTGAACTCAGGGCTTTGGTGCTGTCTCTGAGCTTTTGTGATCAAGGCTAGTTAGTGCTCTACTACTTGAACCAAAGCTCCACTTCCGGCTTTCTTTTTTGGTGGTGAATTGGAGATAAGAGTCTCATGGGTTTTCCTACCCAGGCTGGTTTCAAAGTGTGATTCTCAGATCTCAGCCTCCTGAGTAGCTAGGATAGTAGGTGTGAGCCACTGACACCAGCCCCTTCTATTTCTTACCGAATTATTTTGGGAAAAAATCTAGACCTTATCCCATTGATGATAGTTTGTATCTCAGAAAATCAAGAATTGTCAAAATAAAGCCAAACGAACCCCAGTAAACAACTGTAATAATCAGATCTCAGAAAATTAATATTTCTTTGTTTCCTTAACCATTTGGCCAGCATTTAAACTTCCTTATAAGTATTCTGGGATCTAAACAAATTTGACACATTGCAATAAGTTTATTTATCTCTTCAGATTAAAACATTTTTTGTCAGTACCAGGGCTTGAACTCATAGTCCTTACTCATAGTGGCACTATAGTACTTGAGTCATGCCACCAGTCTCACAGACTTTAATTGCCCAGCCTGGTCTTGAATCTCCATCTTTCAGCTCTCAGTCTTCTGAGTAGCTAGGATTACATGTATGAATCACACTCTACTTCTTCAGATTTTGTTTTTTTGTATGTCAGTCTGGAACATGAACTCAGAGCCTAGGTGCTGTCCCTCGGATTTTACGCCAAAAGTTAGCACTCTACCACTTGAACCATAGTTCCACTTCCTTTTTTGGTATTTATTTGGAGATAAGAGTCTCATGGGTTTTCCTGCCCAGTTTAACTTTGAATCATGATCCTCAGATCTCAGCCTTCTGAGTAGCTAGGCTTACAGGTGTGAGCCACCAACTCCCAGCTCATTCAGATTTTTAAATATCAGCCATCACTTCATTCCTTGCAATTTTTGTGTGATGGACCTGGGGCTTGTACTAGGGCCTGAGCACTGTCCCTGAGCTTTTGTACTCAAGGCTAGTGCTCTACCACTTGAACCACAGCTCCACTTGGGCTTTTTGGTGGTTAATTGGAGATAAAAGTTTCTTAGGTTTCCTTGCCAGGGCTGGCTTTGACTGCAGTCCTCAGATCTCAGCCTCCTGAGTGGCTAGGATTACAAACATGAGTTCTTGCAATTTTTCTAAGACACCCCACTTGCCTTGTAGAGTTTGCCTTGTAGACTTTGGCTGATTGCATACAAGTAGAGATGTGGTCCTTTATTTTATTAGTTCTTTAATTAACTTGGCTTTTCATTGTTCCATTTAATTAATTTAATTTGGTAGGCCATTACTTCTATGACATTTATTCAATGCAATATTAAATTAATTTAAATTGAACTAACTCCTTTTAATTCTACTATTCCTGAAAGGATCCATCACATCCATCCCAGGGGACCATGCAGAGGCAGGCAGGCACAAGAGAAAGATTATTACAAGGTTTATAAGAGGAGCCATATTTCCCCTGGAGAGGGAGCACATGGCAGCCTCCACTATCTAGGTAGCAGTAGGGTCTGAGGGTTGGAAGTGAGGTAGATGGAGTCTCATGTGAGTCTGGGTAGAGAGAAGGAGGGGCCTCCAGGGAACTCAAGGGCTGGGAGGAGCTCAGGTCTGGGTGGAGCTGAGGACCAAAGGTGAGCATAATGCTTTCAATTCCCATTTCCTGGAATTTGTCTCTAAAGAAAAACCTACCACACATCAATTGTTTGACTAAGTTGACATATCGTTTATACAGAAGAAAGGAGTATTAATATTTAATTTCCCTCCCACATTATTCACCAGTATTGATTAAAAATGACCACCAAGGATGACCAATCAGGATTTTTGGGTTTTTATATGTCATGAATTCTAAATATATCTGGTGACTTTCAATGCATTGCATTTATTTTATTTTGATGCTTACATTGAACTGTTCCTAGCCAATAGAAGATTCTGAGGCTTAAACTCTGGGCCTGGGTGATATCCCTGAGCTTTTTTGCTCAAGGCCAGTGGTCTACTTGGGCTGTTTGGTTGTTGATTGGAGATAGAGTCACTTGGACCTTACTGCCTGAGTTGGCTTTGAATTGGGCTCCTCAGCTCTCAGCCTCCTGAGTAGCGAGGATTACAGATGTGACTTACCAGTACAGGGATGATTTTGCTATTTCAATATAGATGTCAGAGTCTTTGGAGTTTAGAGCCTTAAAGCAGATGCTTTTAATTGTGTTTACCTGCAAACCCCATATGAGGCTGGGTGTGGCTCTTATCAGTTTTTACTATCTCTTCTTATCTCAGCCTTCCTCTAATCATTCCCTTTTCTTTCTTTCCCCACTCCACCACGGCTCCAGGTTTCTGAAGTTACTGGAACTGGCAACCCTTCAGGAGAAGGTGGCATCTCCAGAAGCAGTCTCCCAGTCATTTTTACAGAGGTCCTCCAGGCACCAGCCATCAGGATTCCTCCCTCCACTCCTCTCTCTGGCCTGGGTGGCTCCCCCAGAGATCAGGCCTCTGGGCCTGATGCAAGTGAAGTGGCCACTGGGCCCTTCTTGGAGCCCAGCCAGCAACAGGTGGAGGCCTCTTGGGAAGTGTCAAGTGAGAGTGGAGGGGGTCAAAAGGACCTCATGGTGGGAGCTGTTATGGATGAACCTACTGGGGGTCTGGAGGTCCTGAGTGGGTTGGAGGAGCTGCTTGGCGAAGACACCATTGATCAGGAGCTGGAACAGCTCTATCTGTCTCACCTGAGCCGCCTGCGGGCTGCTGTTGCTGCAGGTGCAGCAGGGGGTGGTGGGGAGGGCCCTACAGATGGGGGGCTATCCCCTAGCCATCCCCTGGGCATACTCACGGACCGAGACCTGATCTTAAAGTGGCCTGGCCCTGAGCGGGCCCTGAACAGTGCCCTGGCCGAGGAGATCACCTTGCACTACGCACGACTGGGGCGTGGTGTGGAGCTCATCAAGGACACTGAGGACCCTGATGATGAGGGGGAGGGTGATGAGGGGCTCGCCATCACTCCCTCCAGTCCTGAAGGAGACAGCCCCAAGGAATCGCCTCCGGAAATCCTCTCTGGGGCCCATGCTGTGGTAGCCACTATGGGAGATGTGTGGTTCCCATGGGCAGAGGGTGCTGGATGTGACAGCTCTGTGGTTTTGGGTACAGAAGGTCCATTCCCTGGGGATCCAGAGAAAGGGATGGGCAAGGACATCAACTCTCTATACACAAATAGAATCCTAGGTGGGGTGACCAGGTCTTTGGGGGAGGCCGGAACAGAGGCCCAGATGGAGGTCACCCCTGAGTGGGCAGGTGGCTTAGTTCCAATGTCCGACAAGGAGCCAGATGTTCCAGTCCTTCTGCAGGAGCAGAATTCCACCTCTCTTTGTCCCATGAGGGATGATGTCTATCTTTCTAGTGTGGCAAGGTCTCCTGTGATCTCCCAGGATGAAGAAGGTGCAGACCCAAGTCTTGAGTCCCCAAAGAGGTCTCCCACCCCAGAAGCCCCTGCAGAATGTGGGTGTGGATTGCCTTCTCAGCTCTGGGGCCCCTTAACCCAGACGCTGGGAGTCCTGGCTGGGCTGGTGGTGGTCCCTGTGGCTCTGAACAGTGGTATGTCCCTCCTGGTGCTTGTGCTGTGCCTCTCTCTGGCCTGGTTCTCGTAGGGGCTGCTTGTGGGATCAGCAATAACAGGCTCTCCCTCCCCCTACTCTTTGGGGTCTGGGGAAGGTCAGTCCCTCCACCCCCCCCCCCAGAGGGTTGAAATGACACATATGGCCTGTACAGTGAAGGACCTTGGTCCTCTGCTTCTAAGAATGGTTGACTGGAGAGAGGCCTTCCCTTTCCTGTCTTGGAGCTCTCCAGGGATGGTGGAAGGAGTGAGAACTTTTAGAATGGAACCAGGCATGTCCTCCCCACCCACCCCCCATTCCCCTGAGCCTGTATTTATTTTTGTATAATTCTCTGGATGAGGGAGAGTGGTCATGAGCTGGTCTTGGGGCACAATTACCCAGAGATATATTTATTAACAGCCAACCTGTGCAACCTGCTGGAGCTTTATTTTTAATTTAATTTATATAGAGTACCTATTATTATATGCCACAATAGAGCTCTATGAGAAATGACTTGTCTTGCTGTGCAGTAGTCTCCTGTTTGGGCCTGAGTGTGTAGGGTGGTCATGTTCCACGGGGAAGAAGATTGTGGGGAGTGGGAGGGTGTAGACATGGCCCTGCCTGTTGCTGCCTCTTAAATGTGTCTTTGAGGATCTGTTGTCTCCTCTCCTCATGGTCCTAATACATGTGGTCTTGTAATCTTTTTACATTCTGCCTATGGGAGCCTGCCTCTGTGTATATAGGTGGTGATGGGAGCTATGGAGGAAGAATGGGGGCCACATGAAGGCTTGCTGTCAGTATGTGGCTTGAGTGGAGGTTGTGATCAGTTGTGAATGTGAAGACATCGGTTACGAATCAGCTATAAGGTTTTGAGGTTTCAGAAAAGAAAAACCAACCCCAAACAGCCTTTGACACCAGCAGAGAGACCGTTCAAACCCCCAAGATAGAGAAGGCCTCAGAAAATACAGAGAAATTAATGTGCTGTGAAAAATTTGTATCACGAGTTGCTGACAGATATTGCATTTCTACTCAAAACAGGAAACTCAGATGTTTGAAAGAAAGGATAGATATATTTATTGCATGCAAATAAAAAATACTTTGCATAGCAAAATAAAACACCATATATTTATTTACTTCCCTTTATTATTATTATTTTTGAGCTAGGGTCTCACAATGTATTCCAGACTGGTCTTGAACATGTGATCTTGCCTCAGCCTCCTTAAGTGCTAGGGTTACAGGCATGTACTACCATGTCCAGCACTGCAGAAAAACTGCTTGAAACAAATATATATATATAGAAGCTTTCTTTAGTCATTTCTTCTCCAATGCTCCTATCCATTTCTGAAATAACTTCAATCTGTATTTTTAAAAAATGATTTTTGGGGGGCTGGTATCAGAGTTTGAATTCAGGGTCTTGCACTTGTTCATCTGATGTTCTATCACTTGAGCAATACCTCCAGCCCTGCTTTTTGCTGGCCATTTTGGAAAAGAAGTCTAGTGAACTTTTCTGCCTGGGCTGGCTTCAAACTTTGGTCCTCCCGATTTCAGCCTCCTGAGTATTTAGGATTATAAGTATGAGCCACTGGCACTCTGCCCAGTCTGTGTTTGCCAACCACTTTAGCAAAAGTGTTGAAATCACTGATTATTTTCACATTATTATAGCAATAGTCAAGTCTCAGACTTCATCTTATATGACCTCTTGGGTGCCTTTGTTAGAACTGATCATCTCTACCTTGCAGCTCCTTCTTCACTTGGTTTCCAAAATGCCATACTTTCCAAGCTTTTTTTCCTTCCACATTGGCTACTCTTCTCAGAAAATGCCCATCCCATAGTAGGTGCACAATAAATTCCCATCAAATGAACTACATGAAGGAACAAACAAATGTGCACTGGAGAATACAGAGCAATATGGCTGGAAATTTTAGGTGCTTATTTAGTGGTTACAAGTTCATTTCAGCTCCATGCATGTTGACTGATCACCTCTGTTGTTTCTGTGGGCACAGTGGAGGAGCTCACAATCCAGATAAGAGAACCACAGTGTACCATGGTCAGTGTGTACCAACAAGTGATGAGTCCTATTGGTTGTGTAAGTCCAGGACAGAGGTTTAATCCAGTCCAAGGACTCTGGGTATCTTGGAGGATATAATTCTTTTTCTGTGTTTTCAAAAGCAAAAAGGAATCCTCCAGGTAATGGAAGGGAGAAGATGGCTCTCCAGTCAGAAGGAATAGCGTCACAGAATCTGGAAGCAGAAAACAGCTAATGAGAAATGGAGCACCCATATCACATCTATTTCCCAAAGAGAGTATTCTAATATGACATATCAATGTTCAGACATGTGTCTATCATCTTCCATTGATGTCATGGCTTTTTTTGAGATGGGAGCTTTAATATGTAGCCTAGGCTGGCCTGAAACTCACTAACCCAGATAGGCCTTAAACTGATGATCCTCCTGTCCCAATCTTCTGACTGCTGAATTGATAGACTATCACGCCTGGATCTGATGTGATAATTTGATGATTGTCTAAAAGGCAACTTTATGCCTTTAGATAAAGTGGAAGCATTCCTATAGACATACAGTTTGCCAAAAATGTCTCAAAATGGAATGAAAAATTTTAGTAGTTTTTTTTTTTTTTTGGGGGGGGGGTCCAGTCGTGGGGCCTGAACTCTGGGCCTGGGCGCTGTCCCTCAGCTCTTCAGCTCAAGGCTAGCGCTCTACCACTTGAGCCACAGCGCCACTTCCCGCTTTTTTCTTTTTTTTTTTCTTTTTTCCTTTTTGCTTATGTGGTGCTGAGGAATCGAACCCAGGGCCTCGTGCATGCAATGCAAGCACTCTACCACTGAGCCAACTTCCCAGTTCCAAATTTTAGTAGTTTTATAACCATTGAAGAAACAATAGAACTGGTGGTCAAAATCTTCCTTCACAGAAACTCTGGGCTCAGATGGCTTTGTTGTTGAATGCTCAAGGAACAAACAATTTCATTTTCCAAAAGCAATTCCATGACGTAGAAAAAGACCATGCCTGATTTATTTTAAGGGGTCTGATAAGGTCTTCTTTGTTTTAAAAGTATCTTTATTAATGGAAAATAAGTTGTTCATTTCTTCCTTATATAATTAACACCCAATGAGCCAATAGAATGTTGAGAAAGCAATCTCAAGAATATATATGCAAAGGGCTGGGAAGGTGGATCAGTGGTAGAGCCCTTGCCTTGCATGCCTGAGGCCCTGGGTTCGATTCCTCAGCGCCACGTAAGCAAAAAGAAAAAAGCCGGAAGTGACGCTGTGGCTCAAGCAGTAGAGCACTAGCCTTGAGCTGAAGAGTTGAGGGACAGCGCCCAGGCCTAGAGTTCAGGCCCCACGACCGGACCCCCCCCACCACCAAAAAAAAAAAAAGAATATATATGTAAATATTCTAAGCCAAAGACAGATACCTAAATTCAACTTAAAAGTTAAAGATAGCCGGGTGCTGGTGGCTCACATCTATAATCCTAGCTACTCAGGAGACTGAGATCTGAGGATCATGGTTGGAAACCAACCTGGGCAGGAAAGTCTGTGAAACTCTCATCTCCAATAAACTAGTCAGAAAAGCTGGTAGTGTAGCTAACTTGAGTAAAAGAAGCCTAGGGACAGCACCCAGGCCCTGTGTGCGAATGTGCACATATGCATGTGTGTATGCGTGGTGCGCCCACACACACAAATTTAAGATGATCAAGTTAGATTTATCCAGAATATAATGTGATTAAGTATTTGAGCTCAACATGATTACTTTCAATAGCAGGCTAAATGGAAAAAAGCTACACTTATCTTAATGGATAGGGGCATAAGGATAAAATTCAATATCTATTTATGATTTAAAGAATTTTATTGGCTTATACCTGTAATTCTAGCTACTGGGGAAGCTGATATCTGAGGATCACAGTTTGACACCAACTCAGTCAGCAAAGTCTGTGAGACTTTTATCTCCAGTTAACCACCAAAAAGCAGGAAGTAGAGCTATGACTCAAGTGGTGGAGTGGGATGAGCCTTGAGCAAAAAAGCTCAGGGACAGCTCCCAGACCTTATGTTCACATACAAAAAGAATCTTAGCAAGCTAGGTGCTGGTGGCTCATACCTGAAATCCTAGCCATTTAGGAAGCTGAGTCTAGGAGGATCAAGGTTCAGAATCAACCTAGGAAGAAATTTCTGTGACAATCCATTTTCCTGTAACCAGCCAAATGCTAGACAGGGGATGTGGTTCAAGTGGTAAATTACCATCCACAAGTAAGTTGCATGAGCATGTGAGACCCTGTGTTCAGGCCCTGTTATTTGAACAACAAAACACAAAATCTTAGCAAAATAGTCAAATGAACTTTCTTAGCATAAAGGGTATCAATAAAGATTTCCAGTGAACTATATCCTTAAAAGTGAAATGTTTAGGGCTGAGAAGGTGTCTCAGTGGTAGAGCGTTTGCCTTGCATGCATGAGGCCCTGGGTTCGATTCCTCAGCACCACATAAGCAAAAAGAAAAAAGCCGGAAGTGGCGCTGTGGCTCAAGTGGTAGAGCGCTAGCCTTGAGCTGAAGAGCTGAGGGACAGTGCCCAGGCCCAGAGTTCAGGCCCCACGACCGGACCCCCCCCAAAAAAAAAGTGAAATGTTTAAGCTTTGATATGGGATATGGCAGGGATGCCTGCTAGCACCACTTGTATTCAGCATTGTAGTGATGTCCCAGCCAGCACAATATGTCAAGGGAAGCTGGGTATTAGCTGCTCATGCCTGTAATCATCACTACGCAAGAGGTTGAGATCTGAGGATCATGGTTCAAAGCCACGTCAAGCAGACAAGTCCTTGAAACTCTTATCTCCAGTTAACCAGAAAAAAAAGCCAGAAATGGAGGTGTGAGCTCAAGTAGTAAAGCAGAATCCTTGAGCAAAGAAAGCTAAGCAAGAGTGTGAGGCCCTGAGTTCAAGCTCCAGTTCTATCATGCATGGACATGTGCGCACGCACACACACACACACACACAAAAGGTCAAGGGAAAGAAAGACATTTAGACACTGGAAATGAACAAATATTATTTGTAGATGATACCATTATGTATGTAGAAAATCCAAAATAATCCATGGGCAAATTAAATGTTTAGCTGGGTACCAGTGACTTGTCTGTAATCCTGGTTACTCAGGAGGCTGGGATCTGGAGGATCTCAGTTTGAAGCCAATCTGAGAAGAAAAGTCCATGAGACTTCATCTCTAATTAACCAGGAAAAGACAGTTTGGATGGATGGCTCAATTTTGTAGCATGCCAGTTGTGAGTAAACAAGCAAGTTGAGTGACAATGTGAGGCCCTGAGATCAAAGCCCTGGTATCAGAAAAAAAAAAAAAAGGATTTCTGTACACAAAGTTAGTATTTAGAAATCCGTTACATACACTAAGTATAGCTTAGGAATATAGTTGCTGGATCTGTGAGGCTCTGAGTTCCATCCATAGCACTGCCAAAATGTTTGTTTTTCCTTTTTTTGTATGTTGCTGGAGATGGATCCAAGGGCCTTACATGTGCTTGGCAAATACTTTACCACCGAGCTATATCCTCAGCCTCTCTGTTGGTTTCATATGTCAACAACAAAATGAATTTTAATAAACCAATTTTGAACTATTTAGGAACTGGAAAAAGAGGGTAAAATATTTTTTGGGGGAAAAATAAAAATTCACTTGCCAGCTGGGTGCTGTTGGTTTACACATGTAATCCTAGCTACTCAGGAGGCTGAGCTCTGAGGATTGTGATTCACAGACTCTTTTCTCCAATTAACCACCAGAAAACTGGAAGTGGAGCTGTGGCTCAAAGTGGTGGAGTGCCCCCCCCATCACATACTCCTTAAAACCTGATTTAAATTTTTTATTATTATGAAAATACCGTACAGAGGAGTTACAATTACATGGCACTGATTGAAATTTTTTGGCAGTATGGGATTTTGAACTTAGGGCAGGTATCACTGGAGCCATGTCCCAGCTTTGAAAGACTTTTTAAAATTTTTACTTAATATTATTATTATTATCTCTAATTTTACAAAGGGGTTTCAATTAAACAAGTCAGATTATGAATGCAATGCATCTTGTTCAATATCATCCCCAAAAGACTTTAAAAAAGGCCAAAATGGAATCAG